TCCGTCCCACATCATGCACAGGAAGCTCAAGCTCACCACTAGAAAAGCGGACGTGACTCTAACAGTGTTGCGCAACGTTTTATATTTATAAAGGTTTGTATGGGATATTATCGGATTGCCTTGAAGTGCCCCTGAGACGAAAATTGACCATTTTATTTTGGCCTAAATTGTTTACACAATGTTGAATTGGGTCAAGTTAAGACCCTTTTTGCCATTAAAAACTCAAAACAAACCTTCGATGACCAATTTTTACCGCTTCAAAGTCGTCCAAAAATCGTCCGCCATTGCTGAAAACATGTTCCAGCCGAGTCCGCAAAAACGTCATCATGACGTCAAAGGCTCAACAAACTTATGCTTTGCTTTGTCACAACTCTCTTTGTTCGCTGCACAGAGAATCACACATATCACTTTTTTGAGAACTGTTTCGTTGTCAGTCGGGAAATGTCGACTTTTTCAGACGACGAATTGCGCCAGAAATCATCTGAAGCTTCTGTGGATAGTTTTGTGCTGACAAACGATGAATTTTTGCCATGTGAATCATGAGATAAACACAGAACGGCACGGCCTTCTCTTCTTGAACGGTAGGCACTGAACCCGACAGAATTCTTCGCCTGGATCCTTTAACGGTACACAGATCTCTCGAAACAGTCCTCCGAGAAATGTTCGGAGTAGATCACAAATATTTCTGCAGGATTGAAGTTTACTCGGCGAGGTCGCACAAATTGCATCCGTTTTTCCCGCTCAGATCCATTTGCAAGGCTCTGATACAGAGAAATACCTGCAGCATGGTCTGCACGATTACTACAGCTTTGAATTACCCATCGATGCCCAGTCATTTTTGTTTAGTTTTTGTAAGAATAGGGTAAAGCACTCTGTAATGTTTGCTTGACATTTCTCCATGTGAGATTTTCGCATTGAGCCTTTGACGTCACTTCCTCTGAGTCCTGCGATCAACTTCCGGAAGATGATCAAATAATGGCGGACGCGAAATCGTGAATTTAACGGCCCGAAAAAAGATATTTCTGGTGCTCGGTCTAAACTGAAATTTGGCAGAGTAGGCAAAGGAGACACACTGAACACGAAAATGGAAAAAAAAAGTTGTACGAAAATTTTGATCTCTGCAGGGGCACTTTAAATCACGTAAAGGACTGGTTAGATAAGCATAGACTTACCCTTAATATCAAAAAGTCAAAGCTAATGCTGATTGGTGGTCAAAAGAGACTGAAGCTATTGACCTGAAAATTAATGATGAGAACATTGAACGAACTGGACACTAAAAATATTTAGGAATTGTGATTAATGAAAATCTCACCTGGTCTGACCACATTGACTTAATATGCAGCAAAGTCTCAAGTGCTTAGGAATGATAAAACGTATTAAGCGCTTACTACCTAATAAATCTAGGGAGATTATTTTCAATACAATTGTTCTACCAATTTTTGATTACGCTGACGTAATGTGGGGTGATAGGTTTAATTGCACCCTTATGAATAGACTCCAAATTTTTAAAAATAAGGGTGCGAAATTAATAACTGATAAACCCCTTTTCTTCCAGTCATGATGCACTGAAGTCACTGGGCTGGAAAGATTTAGAATATAGGAGAAAATTTCATAGATTATCTTTTATTTTTAATTATATTACAAAAAATAATGATTTTAATTATGATAATATTAAGCATGAGGAAATTCACGCCCATCATGCAAGAAATAAATCTATGTTTCTAAGGTTCGAATAAAAACTAACTGGGGGAAATCTAAGTCGGCTTACATGTTTTTTAATGAATGGAACTCTTTAAATGGATCATTGAAGACATCGGTGAATTATAGGATTTTTAAGAAACAATATTTTAATAATATATGACCTTCTCTTCTTTTTGTCCATTAATATTATATTCAGTTTTCATTAATTTATTTCATCTATCTTAATTCTATTCTTTTAATGTATTTAGTT